GGAGGGAGAGAGAGAGAGAGACAGAGGGGGAAAGAGAAGCCATAAGCCACAAAAATGACGTACAAAAAAAAATTGGTTTTATTTCTCATGTGCACAAAAAGAGAAAAGAAAAGAGTCAAACAGAACTGAAGCAATGAGGAAAAGCCAAGAGCGGCTGCAGCAGCCTAGGATGGATATGACCCTGCACCTGGTGCTGGCCCCCTCCCCTCCACAGTCTCACGTCTAGCTTAGCCTGGAGAGCATCAGCAGAGCTGCTTAGGGTGGGATTTGTCGTCAGTTCTGTAATTGTCAGTGTTTGGTCCCTCCTTCCTGCTTCACAAATTTGCCAGCGTCCTGGGCCCAGCCAAGGAGCACACTGTGGTGTTTGTGGGGTCCCTCAGAAGCCCTCATTCTGTCAGTGCCAAAGGGGGCAGCTATGGTTCTTATTTTTTTTCCCAGAGAGGTATTTTTCCTTAAGGACAAAAGGGTGGGGTTTTTCCAATGGTTCAGCAAACCAAAAACTCCTTTAGGAAAATGTTTACGTGCATATATGATTATATAGTCAAGAGGAGAAAGAGGTGCAGGGTTTTTTTGTTTTCCTTTTGTTGTTTGTTTAACATCCTCACATTCACATTGTGATTAATTCTGAAGTCTTAGTGTGAATTTGAATCATCGCTACCGATGGGTCAGAAAGCATGCAGACTTCTCCCTGTTTCCACAGCAGGCCTCGTTGCCACCAACCCTCCCCAGCAGGTTTCCAGATCACAAGGGTGTCAGCTTTAATGCATCTGCCCCATGCAGCCCTCCCCCCATCTTGCCCCACATCTCATTGGGCCAAAAGGACGTGGGAGCGTCAAGACAACAGGACTCAAAAGTGCTGCCCAGTTTTAAATGCCATGGTCTCTGTTGCTTCCAGTGAAACATGGCATTTGAGAACTCATGAGATTCTTCCCCCACAAAAAAAGTGGTGACAGAAGGAGATACGGTTAAACAACATTTCTGCTTGGTCCAGTGGATAAAGCAAATGTAGTAGCAGAGCTGAGAATGACAGAAAAAGGAAGAAGTGAAGGGAAAGCTAAGGAAAAAGAATAAAGGAATGAAGAATGATTTGTGAGAAAAAGAGAGAAATGTAATAGAAATATTAATTATTATTCAAAATAATACTTAACACTGTGATAGAATTTTCTTTCCAGGATCTCAAAGCACTGAGCTGGTGCTAATTAATTCGGCTGCACGATCCCCCTGTGAACTAGAAACTATCATTATTCCCATTTTACAGAAGATTGGAATTGAGGCATAGGGGGGCAATTGGACTTGACAAAGGTTCTCTAGAGCCACAAGGAGAACTGGGGAGTCTGAGGTCCCAGGTACCCGCTGTCATATCAATTATGCTGTTCCCTCTCTGGATAGAAAAGTACTTTGGGAATGAAGAATAATAAAAGAGAGGGATAGAAATGGAAAGGAAAGAGGGTGTGAGAAAGAAATAGGAGAAAGGGAAGAGCAGAATGGAGGAGAGTGTTGCGAGTCATAGATTTCACTGGATTTTGCATAGTGATTTCTTCCTCCCATTCTTTTTCATTTTTTCCTGTAAAACTTTTCAAAGAAAAATGAAAAAAATTCCACCTATAGCAAAGCGACTGTTGGCCTGTTGGGGAAGGGAGCCTTTCCAAGGTTTGGCTGTTCCCTCAGGTTCTGGATTTGTGCTGTGCTTTATTGAACACATCGTTTTGTTTTCAGTGAGCACAACAAGACTTGCACAGTACAGACAGCGTGTTCCTTATCTACAGGATGAGACGAGGCTGTTTTAATAACTACCATGATGAAGATGGAGATGAACTTATATACAAGAGGAATTGCCTTCACATTACACACATTATCTTCCTACAAAGCAGCAATTGTTTTTGCAAATAACATAATATTAAATAATTGGTAGAATTTTTGCGTTTCCTGCATAGTCCAGTCTAATGGAATCTATATGAATATTGATGGTTTTCTTCTGCATAATATCACCACATAAATCCCTGTGTCAGCTACTAGACTTCAGCTATAATACTGCTTTACAATGCATCCACCGACTGTAAATCAAAACAACCAACACAAGAAACTCTTTGGCAAATGTAATTCAGTACATTCGCATGGGGGTCTACAGATGGTGGTGGAAGAGGATTAGACTGCCCAGTCCTCTGCATAATTCTGCTTTCCTTTTAATTTTCCTGGTCAAGCTACATGCCGAACTTTCCAGAGCAATCCAATGCCTGGTGGAAATCCCTTTTATCAGTGAAGTCACACCAACAGTGGATTTGGCCCTCCGAGGGTCAAATCAAGCCAGCCATGAGTGAGCCAACCAAATCCTGCTTTCATGTCCTAGCTTGTCTCTCAAGTTTAGTGAAATACCATTATAAAAATAAGCATTTCTGAGCTGCTAGTTTCTCTTGAGGTGGCCCCTGGACTGCAGGTTGCCAAGTGTGAGGCATGACAGTCTCCTTTTCTCTAGCCTCCTCAGGAGGGGTCTCCTTGCTGGTTCTGGGATTTACTGCCTCTGCCTCAGCCACCTGCTGAGTGAAACCAGGTGGTGCCTGGGTATAGCAAAGGCTGTACTGAGAGGCTATAAGGGAGATTTTACTACCAGGGTCCAGCATCTATCTGGTGTCTGAGGAGGAAAACAGAAGAAGGGGTGGAAGTAATTTTTTAGAAATCACTCAGAATTTTCTTCTCATATAGAATGAGATAATGGGCCAAATTCTGGTTTTGGTGACAGCGTAGCAACTCTGTTCTTTGCAGTAGGTTACTCAGAGGCAAGACGTGCAGAATGACACTTGTAATAGATCAGGAGTAACCTTTTAGATTTTATTCTGTACAGGAACAGATTTTAGCTCTATATCTTCTATGTAAACACCCGCCCCAAATACCCTTATCATTTGGGCTCCCCATTAAAGAAGACACAGACCTATAACCAGCTAGAGCCATGCAAGGACTAGAAGTGTTAGGTGAAAGGGGCCTTTGGGATCAACACAGCTGTTTACTGATGATGGATTTCATACATACAAGTTAAACTTGGAGACAGAATGCTGAGTCCACAGCCACATCTCCTCTGAGGCTTGGAACTTTGGATTTTATACATAAAGTTGGCTGTACAGATTGCTCCACTGTACACTCTTATGCCCTCTGGGGGTTTGATTCTCAATCCTGTCTTTGTCCATGGACAGTAGCCCACAAGTTTTATATGAAACCTCTCTAAAACAACAAGGATCTACTTTGGCAGACTTGATGCCCTGGGGACAGGCTATAGCTGCCTTCATGTTTTCTTTGAGTACTTTTTAGGAAGTGTCAGTGCAAGGAACAGTTTATGAGTTTGCTGACAATACAGGAGTAATAAGCATTTCTATTGACAGTTAGCCTTTTGCAGAACAGTGTTTGCCAGTCACTTGGGAACCAAAAAGAGCAGAAAATCCCTAGAGAATCATCAGGTGAGCATTTGGGATAAGGGGTAAATATTAGGGTGCACAATATAGGGCTGAAGATCAAAAGATGGGGCTGTATGTCAAGACTGACTGGTAGTATGCAGGCATAAGGATTCGAATGGAGGCCTATAAATTAGTAGGTGTATGAGCAGATGGACTGGGAATCGAAGGGGACCCATATAGCAAGGCTATAGTGGTTAGGAAATTAGGTGTTGGGCACAGATAATGAGGCTGTTGTCACCAGGAGTGGGGATCTGGTGATTGGGTGTTGGGCATATCTAAAATTGCAAAAGTTGTGATATGTATGGGTGAACTGAAGTTGTCACGAGTACAGGGGTTAAGGGAAAAGGAGCGGAGGCTAAGGGCTAGGGAACCAAGCAATAATCCCAGCCAATCCTGAATTTGTCCATCTCAGTCTCAGCTGTCCAGAGGGCAATCAGATGGGCCCACATGAAGCCCCACACTTTCCACCACACAGCGCAGTTAGAGCGCAGCTGGGCTTGTTTTCTTTGTTTGCCAACCAGTGACATGGAAAACGTTTGTTGACTCAAGAGTGCTTTTTTGTCGACTGATGTGTTTGGTAACTTTGTCAGATGTGACTTGTCCACACTGCTCCCCAGAGACAGGATTTGGGAAAGGGGGAGGAGGAGGAGGCAACAGGGGTGGAGCTGGCATCCAATCCTCTCCAATACCACCATCCCATTGTAGTGCAAAACAGAAAGGAAACAAAACCCTAGAGTGAAAGAGGAGCATCAAACGTCAGAGGAACTAGTCTGCCATTCAGGTGGTGGGGAGGGATGGGACTTGGAGTTTTATTTTTGTAGGGTTTTTTAATTATTATTTTGGTTTTTTTGTTGTTTTTGTTTGCTTGGGTTTTTTAGAAAATTGGGGATTTGTTCTTTTTTTTTTCCTTTTTACAGACCTTCATGACAAAGCATAAAAACACAGTTATATTTATATATCTATTTATATATTTCTTCATTTCGTTGGTTGGTTTGTAAATGTTGCTCCATCCTCCTGTCTGAGCTGATTGTGTGTCACAGAAATCGTGGGTGTATGTGTGAGGTTCCTCCCAGCTCTGGCCTACAAAGTCACCATGTGTGAGGTGCAGCCAACTGTGGGGTAAGCCATGCTGGAGAGTGGGGATGAGGTGCACAGAGAACCCCTCGTGGGGTGCAGATAGTTACTTGGTCCTTTTCTTCATTGCCAGATGGGCCAGGTCTCTGTACTGCCATCTCTGCTCTAGCCAGACTGTTCCCTCTGTCCTGGGAAACAGGGTGAGCATCACGGGTTAAACACGTTGAAGAGTCCACCACAGAAGAGCATATCTTTGGGGAACAGTGTTTGATGAGCAGTGTCCTCCCCTGCTTCCCCTGGCCCTTACCGCTCCCAGAAGAAGGGGGTCCTGTAAGGCAATGGTTGCCAGCTGCTTTGCTTCCCAGTCCCCCTCACGTCCTGGAAGCCAAGGGGACTATGCGTGGCTGAGCTTTGCCCAGGCATGGTGAAGGGCTTCTGCGGGAGAAGCCACTTGGCCACAGGCTTTTCCCAGCGTGGGGGGAGCCGTCGGGGTGGAGGGCAGGGGAAGGACGGGGGATCTCAGTCTCGTGTGGTGAGCGCTTGGTCCGGCGCCTTCATGGCGAAGAGGACGGAACTGGACTGTGGAGAGGAACGGAGAAGGTCTCTTCACCCTTCCCAGGGATGGAGGGAGGTGATCAGACAGGTACAATGTGGAGGCCTAAGCTGTCGCCCTGCAGTTTCATGTGGTTTCCATGGTAACTAGTGGCGGTCATAGGCAGCGGCAGCAGTGGGAGGTGCGGAGCCCCGGGATGTGGCACTATAATAATAAGGGGAACCTGAAAGTTAACACAGGAGAAGAATGGACTGGTTGAAAGGACAAACAGTAAAAAAAAAAAAAAACAAACCAAACCAAACAAACAAAACAATCAAACAAAGAAAAGAAACAAAGGAGAACTGAAAAGAAAAAAGGAACGGAAAGCAAGAAATAAAAGGAAAGGAACCAAAGGAATGAACTTGGGGACTCAGCTTTTAGTGGGATTTGGGAAAGGCAATCAGTGGAAGCTGGCTGAGGGCCATGTTTCGGTGGAGAGATGCTACTGTGGACTTTGGCTTTGAAGGCCCTCTATGGGAAGCAGATCCTTTTGCTCCTTCTGACCATCAGTGAGCTGCTGAGAGGGAAGCCCGTAAGCATTGCAGCAGAAATATGCCACACCTGATCCGCGGCCACAAGGAAAATGTCAGAGTCAGGTGTTCTGAGCATAACTGACAAAGTATAGCAGGTCACTTTTAAAACCAAGACGGGAGAAATGAAACAAAATTACAGTGTTTTATTGCTTGGGATTTTGGTCGCATTTGGCGTGAAAGCTCTCTAGATGGTTATTGAATGTGTGTTAAATAGTGATTGATTATTAAGATCACATTTACTGAGGTTTAACAACACTGGAATAAAATGTGCATCTATTACCCAGTTGTTAAACCTCAGTAAATATGTAGGTAATAATCACAGCTGATTTATTTTACATATAATAAATCTCCTCCTATTCTCTTGCAAAGAAACGTTGTGTTAGAAGATATGGTTTTATGGGAGGTTTTTTTCAGAGGGGAAAATGCTATTTCTGAGCATATTAGAGTCACTGGAGATGGATATATCCCTGCAAGAAAACTCTACTGGCTATTATAAACCTAGTGGTGCAGCCTCTCTTCCACTCTGGACACTGTTCCAACTGGTCCAATAAGAAGAATGTCTATGGGATTTCCAGATCCCCAGGAACTGACTGTGGGTTTAACCTCAGAGAGTGAAGCCTCATCTGGATTTTTAATCAAACCCTGAATGGATGCTGATTGCAGCCTGAAAGAGTAGCAGAACCTGAATTTAACTTCTGATGTCATCTGATTAAACTGTGGATGCAGGCCATGGACAGAGCTGAACTGGAATTCCGAACTGTCTCATGGAAGAGTAATCAGCTTCAGAACAGATACAAAACATGTGAGGTATATACCCATCCAGACACTGGACTGGAGAGTGAGGAAAAGGGCTTCTCACCTGGCCAGATACTTGAAAGTCCTCTCCAGAAACAAAAAAAAAAACCAACAACCAACAACCAAGGAAAAGAAAACAAAGAGACAAACAGAAGGATCGCGAGGCTGGGGGTGTGCTGTGGGAAAGAGGTACTCACTTAGTAATGCAGGGTTGCTGAACCACAGGCCTCGTTGTAGGTTGTGTACTGAGGGTGGCTGTAGGGGTTCCCTGAGAACTCGCTCCCTGGAAGAAAGCAAGGAAGGTGTGAAATATAGTTAGGAATGAAGGTTCATGCCTGCTATTCCATCAAGCCAGTGTTCATGTTGAATCCATATGCCAGCAGTAAAACTCATGTATCTGGCTTCCCTGCCCAGCTGGGACTGTGCACTTCAGGACACTGTAGTGTTTGTTCGGTGCAATGTTGCTTACCCACACAATTAAAAATTGTAAGATTGACCTCTTCAGGATCAAGAAAATAGTCTAAAAGAATGAAATTCAGTAATACAAATAAATAATTAAACGGGTTTCTTCTTTGTTGCCTTGTAAATTCTGATTCTTGGGTTGCTGTAGGATTGCATATGCAAGCTTTTTCTGCAATTAACTATCATCTTTCCTTTAAATAAAATCTAAGGTTCTCCACTAGTGTCAGGACAGCAGGCATGGGAGCTTGATGGGACAAGCTTGCAGTAAAGTCATTGGAATGAGGAGTGCTGTTGATTGTGGTGTATACTGCTAAGTTCTGTTCGTAGGGTCCTGTGGGCGATGATGAATTTGTGAAGAGTGTCATTCATTATTGGAAGTGTTCTGAGTGTAGGGTGGGCTTAAATACAAAACAAAATTGAAAACATACGAATCACTCTTTCTGGTGTTAGTCAGAAAAGTGATTCATATGTGATGAACCCCACCTTAATGCTTAGTTAGTGAGTTACAGATAAAACTTGCAGTATTCCAATTCCAGAAAATAAGTTTCTATGATTAGTGCTTTAGGTGCTATTCTGAACCTGAAAGACAAGCTGGGCTACAGCTCCCTTTTTGACATTCAGTAAAATGGGCCCAAACCAAAATACTTGTGAGCTTTGTGATCTAATAAGACTCCAAGATTTGAATGTTGTAGAGTCTTCTTAAATATTCAGTTTTATTTTGTACATGGAGCTGAGTCTCCTTGTTTTATAAAAGGCTGTGCAGGGCTAAGGGAATTATGTTTGGTAACTGAGGAGATATGGTTCTGCATTCAAAATAAATAGATCTCCCAAAACTTAAAAATATATTATTCTGTTGAGTAAAAACATGCCATTATCCGATCATAACCTCAGTTTAATGCAGTACCAACAGGCTGGGGACAGTTAGTGCCATCTGAAAAGCATTATGTGCTTAAAGACAGTGAGAGAACAGCGTGACTATTGGCTTCTGGTCTGCTCTGAGGCAGGGGTGGAGCTGTTACAGCAGAAGTGTTTGGAAAGCACCTGGGGTTCCTGCTGGGTACCACGGAATATGGAAAGAAGGGAAAGCAAGATGTGCTGGATGCCTGTGATACAATTACCAAATAAATGTCAATTAATTATACTGTAATCTCTGCAAATCTCCCCTCACTGGAGAGTTAAAGCCAAAACCACAGATTCTCAGGTGATGGAAATGAAGTCTGTTGAAGTCAGGGGATTTGCACTGGTTTAAATTTGAGGAGAATACGTCCAGTCAGGTTTTGTTGGTTGGTTTTTTTTTTTCAGGCCACTCAGGGTAATAGCCCAAGTAGTGAGATGCATCAAAACCAATCACCATCCAAAGGTATTTTACTCACAGTGGTTTTTAGTTTTAGCGTAAAGCCTCATTTTGTGTGACAGACCTTGCTAAATACTGTTTTAATGATAGTAACTCAGTATATTTTCCTATCTAGAAACATTTTGCACTGAAAATACTGGCAGCTAGCTGGGAAGGAATAGGTGAAACCTCAGAAGATGACCAAGATGCTGTGGGATATGATACAAAGGCAAAAGGAAACGCATGATCCAGATTTATCTCTACTGTGGGATATACTGGAATGAGCTTGCCCTCCAAAGAAGGAAAAAAAACCTATCCAGATGATAATTTCTGCTTTGAAATGCCTCACATAAGCATCACTTCTCTGCATGGAGAGAAGAGGTGCTGATATTTCAAGGCTTCTCTCTCACCCTCTTCTGAGTTGTCACCCTAAACTGTTTATAGTGTTCCTAAAGCACGGGTTAAGTAGAGGAGAGAGAGCCCCAGCTATGGAGAGCTGGGGAGGAGGGAGGGCAGCCACTGGAAACAGTGTTTATTGACGAGGAGTGAAAGCATGCATGCAGCAGGATAATGAGCTTTTGAGCTCAACTGTGACCAAGAGGAACTGAGCTATCGCCTTCCCCGATCACTAATGAAACAAGTGTAATTTCCTCATCAGCATTGGATTCTGTTTAACGACTCCCTGCCGTTGCTATCACCAGCCCTCTGCAGGCTCTACACTGCTCTGCGTAAACTGCAGTTCCCATCAGAGGATGCTCACTTCACCAAAACTGTGCAGAAACTTGATGGCTTTTCTGGGAAAGAGGAAGAATTGAGGCAGGGATCAAAGGCGCTTTGTCGCTTGTGCAGGAGAAATCTCTCAGACACATAGATTACATGTAGCACGTTACCTGATTCATCCTTTGAGTGACTAACCCCTGCATTTTCAAGTGTGTGCTCAGGGACTACTGGCTTTCATCCATGTCTGCAGCCTGGCACCTGAAGTTACAGGCAAAGGCGAATGCAGGATGTGTATTTTACCACATCATCCGCATAAAGTCGGAGATATTTGCGTGCATGACTGACCACGGTGCATGGATGTACTGCTACTGGAGACAAGCTCTTCTCTAGACTGTACAAGCAGAAGTCTAGTGAAAGGTTGTCACAGGCAGAACGGAGCAGCTTTGGTTAGCACTGGTCAAACAATCTTCTCAGAAACAGTTTTCTCCTGGAAAATGCTGTCTCATCGAAATGGAAATGTTTTGCATGAGCTTGTCAGCTTCGATGGAGTTTTGGAAAGAAAAGTTCTGGAATGATTGCAAATTGAAACAAAGTATTATGTTTCAACTTTCTTGTTTTGTTTCATTTTGCCTTTCTCATCTCATTTAATTTCCTTTCAACTCTGTTATTATTTTAATATGTCTTGACATCTAGAACATGTTGACGCTATTGAAATGTTTCATCCTTGAACAATTTCAAGATTCTGACTCCTCATCCCAGCGCAAGATGAAAACAAATGTAAAAAAAATCAGAGTTTTGCTTGGGTTGGAAATTCTGCTTTCTGACCAGTTCTGTTTTTAGCTCTGCACCTTTATTTAGAGAAGACAGAGCTTCTTTTTTCATATTCACTCACATATGGACAATAAGGTTTGTTTGCATGTCTGTATGTTTCTTAAAGATACAAGTGGTCATCTTGCTGGCTTCTTGTTTCCAGTCTCGTTAAAGCACTGGTCCATGACCTTTTTTGGTCTGGGGGCATCTAACAAACCATTGGCAAAATAATATTGGTTTTCTCTGTTCAACCTGGACTCTTAACAGAGGTTGCAAAGCAACCACAGAGGATCGCTCTCATGAGGCCTATATTCTGTGCAATCTGTGCTCTGGGAACCTTTACCAACAGTATTTCTTGGTATCTGTATTTAAATCTTGGCACGTTTAGTCTTCTAATACAGAAACCATGAGGCATGAAGTGAGCCTAGCAGGTGGCAAGTTCAGAACAAATAAGGGAGGTAGTTTTCACACAATATGTAGTTAGGCTACAGAACCTCTTGCCATAGGTTGCTACAGATGTTAAAGGCTTATGTGGGTTCAAGAGACACAGTTTAAGTTTGTGGAGAGGAAACCTATTGAGGGTGTTTAATATTAAATAGAAAGATACTAAGTCTGGCTTAGGAAGTCTCAGAGCCGCAACTTATTGGAGGCTGGGACATCTTTTGAGACAGTGCCGATACATGCTTGCTCTTCTCTTACACCTTTCCCCCAGGCGTTCACTTTTGGCCCCTGACAGAGAGCAGTGGCTGCAGAGATCTGCAGTGTGACCCATTAAAGCCAAGTCTTATGTTCCTTCCCAGGAAGCCTCTTTATCTCCAGCTTGTTGGCTTCAGTCACATTAGAATACAGGAACAGAAGCGCTGCCAGGCTGGGTCTGACCAGTGGGGTATGACAGAAACAGCCAGAACTTGTTGCTCTGTGGAAAGATGCGCTATCTACTGCAGGATGCCCAAGTAGGCCACTGGAAAAACTTCCTCTAATTGAATGTTGACATCAGATTTAATGTAAAGGGATCCATTTGACTTGAATAATCTTTTTTTCTTTGAAGCATAACTCAGTTTTTCTCTTTATCGTCTTGTTACTTTTCTTTTGGGGGATATTTGTGTGTTTCGGGGGACACTGCTGTCTTATGGATAAGTAGCTTCCCCATCAAGGAGCTGAAATGCCCTATTCTTGGGTAAGTGACCTCTGTGATTAGTGGTCTTAAAATTTTTGTCCCATTTTAGGTGTCAGTATCATCCTTGTGATGCAGATGTTGAACTTACACAGCAGTCACTGAAGAGTTGAGAACAGTTAGAATATGATAAGAGCCTGTTTTTTAGCAGTACCTATTCAAAGAGCCAGCTATTTTGGTGTTATTTATCACTTCTATATGCCATGACTTTCTGTAAGTTTTTACCCATAACTAACTTAAATGTTGACAACTAAAGCTACCTGCTGTTACTGTGTGGGCTTTTAAAATTGATTTATATTGTCTTAGTGCTTCTCTGATTCTGGAGCCAAACCATTCCCCTGAAAAATTTAGGGTAGAAGGAGGTGCCCTAAAATTTGCCAACTCTGCACCACCCCAAAAGTTCAACAAGCTGGTCAACTATCCCAAGGGGGTGAGGAGAGGACCAATCCACTGTTTTCCTGATCTGGAGGTCAGTCACACTGTCTTCACAACATAGCCCAAGATTCTGTTTTGCTTTAGGATCATAAGCAGTAGGTAGCTTGTTATCTGGAATGTGACCATAGGTATTAGCCAGTACTTCATGGTATGTAAGCAGTGATTTGTCATTTAAAGATGTTAAGGCTCTGACCTGCAAACATTTCCTAGCAGTGACATTTTCACTGTCCTCACTGCAGTGTATGTTCATTTAGCGAGCTGTTCTGAGATCTGGACGAGGGTTGAGTTAGGCTTTTCACTCATAAGCCCTGGCAAGTCATATAATGATTTAAGAGCTTCCTGTCCTCAGCTTTCTGTTGCTTCAGTTCTGGAGTCATCCCTCCAGGAGCAGAGGTTGCAGAATGGACTGTGTACCTGCTCGTTAGTGTCACAACTCACTACCCAGCATGGTAACATAGACAGAAATCAGTGGCAGATGAGTTTCTGAGTTCAGAGCTACCAAGGCTGGCTGAGAAATTAAAATCCTGCCTCTTAATTTACCTTCTGGGGATAACTGTCATCAGAGGAGTAGGGAATAGAGCCTGGGGAAATAAACTCTTCAATTGCACTAGGGTAAATGGTCCTATCTACTCCCTAAACACTGCGAGAATCCATTTGCCAAGAGAAGGTATTTCTCCAAAGGCACTGGACAGCAAAGAAACAGTTTCCCTTTGGATGCAGGATTATGCAGATAGTTTCTTGGATTGGAAGCATTATCTTATAAAACAGGAGGTGGGCAAGTAGTTGGTTGTTGAAAGTGAATAGTTAGTTTCTCCTGAAATACTGTTAATCATTGCTGAGTTCTTAGGTGGTTTAGGCTATGGACAGCAGGTCTCCAAAAACTGCAGGTATTAAATTACCATTGATGATTTTCAGTTTGATGCTCTGGCTTTAGACAGAAGGTAAGTTGTTACCCTAAGTTAGTGGATAGCTGAATATCCTGAGCCACAAGCGGTACATAATAAACTGCACGGGTCATTGGAAAATAATTACATTAGTTAATGAATACTAAGGTTAATTAATTACCAATTAATTGCCACAGGTTACAGATAGCTAGTTGCCCATAGCAGCAGTGAATCAGTTACTAGGGGGAAGGAGATACGTCACAAAAAGGTGTTTTAGCTGCATTGGTTATAGGCATCTGATGATTTCTTTATGAAAATAATAGGCCTTAATATCAGCAAAGCAGTAGCAAAGCAAACTGCTAAAGCTCTTACAATGCAGGTATACCGTTCAAACATGTGTGCACTCTTACTGAGGTCTGGAGGCTGACTTACCAGGAACCATTCCTGCAAGAGTTGAGGTTGGGTAGCTGCCTTGTCCAGTTGGGGGAACATGGGGTGGGTAGCCAGGCAAGGTGGTGCTTGCCATATCACGACCTGAAAAGGGAAAGAATCAGGACAGGTGGTCAGTAGGGTTAAGATCTTTCAATGTTGATTTGATATCACCTTTTGTCCCACTGTGCAGCCTTCTCTTACATAAGTGCTGTCCATCCACTGAAAATTCTGAGGGAAGACCGTGGCACTTTTGATCTCACACTGTAAGGATGGATGTTAAAACTTAGCTTTGAGAGGCTGAAAACAATTTGTTTTGTTTCATTGTAGATTTTTGGATCTATTTTAACTAAATCAAAATGGCCCTGGGCTGCACAGAGAATGGCAGGATATTCATTGCCAAAGTAGCTGAGGTCCTGTCTATATGCAGTGGATGCAGTTCCAAAACTGTGGTGATGTTGCTTTAGGGTATGGTCAATGTGCAAGGCACTGGAAAGTGATCCAAGAGTTTTCTGTGCCTGTCTCTCTTCCCACCTGTGCCATTCACCTGCTGATGATTTTAGGCAAGTCACTTCACCTCTCTGTGCTTCTTTTTATGCTGCAAACTCTTTGGTGCAAGGGCACGCTTTTAGTACATTTGCACAGTGCTGAGTATGAAATCAATACGGTTGGACTCCTTCCAGGTGCTGATGTGATATAGATATAATAATAGGATCATGCAAATTAGTTGGAGTCCCACTTCATTTCTATCACAGGTACAAGTTTTTGTTAGTAATACTTAAAGTTGTGACATCTTTTCTCCACCAAAGAAGTAGAGAGGGGTGTGGACTGGGTGGATGATTGTAGTTTATTTTTCATCTCTTAGGAAGTGCAGCTGGAGGCTTCTTGGTTGATGCCAGAGGCATTTCCTCATTTGGACTGGTTAGCCTGAAAATGGGCCAGCCAGAAGGGCATTTGCTGTTAGTGCTTATTGCATTTAAATGAACTAAAATCATCTCAGAAGCTGCTGGGAGTTTCAAGCCAAAACAGGAAAAAAAAATAGAAGAGAAAAAAACCCCTAAGTAAATTAAGATAATCTTTCCTTCACAGCTGCTGGGAGATTTACAGCTCAACCTCCAATACTGCCTACTGAGATCTCAGCCTGTTCCAGGCATCCAAAGCCTTTCACATTCCCTAGGTGAACTGTAGCTCACCGAGAAGTTTGTGCCATTTGTTGTTGCTCTGTTAAATTTTGTCTCTCCTGTCTGTTCTAACTTGAGGGCTGCAGTGTGATTTGCCTTTAGAAGTGGCAGATTAAGTATTAACACCACTGGAGTCATTGGAACTGTGCTGGGATATGTCAGTGAAAGAAGAATAAGGGTTGGTTTAGCTCTACTAGTGGCAGAATGATAACTGATAAAGCAGGCCCTGCAACCATGAACCCTGGCTGTGGAATCAGAAATAAATAACAGTTACACAGCAAAGCAAAAACGAAACAACATGGAGCATTAACCTGAAGGGAGAAAGTTTGTCTGGGATGGGGTAGGCTAAGCCAGTGTCATTGCTTTCATAGGTCTTGACTAAAGATTACCCAGGTGATTTGCTCAAGAAAAAAGAAACGCAAGTTCATTCTTTCTCCCTGAGGAGGTTCCTGATCAGTGGCTGAGGTTCCTACATCACCTCCTTGTAGATAATGGCACAGAACTACCAGACAATGGCTGAGCTCTTTTCCAGCAACTCCTCAGTATTGATAAAAATAAGTATATAATGCCTCAGGGATTGATATTCTACACTCTTCTACTCTTTTATCACCATCATTCCTTTAGTGATTTGTAGCTGTGTGTTAAGCTGTATGATTAACACCTACTAGATGTAGTTCTTTTTTTTTTCTTCCCAGTCTTTTAAGGCAAGAAAGTTTTGTGCTTAAAATTAATGTTCTTTTGGTTTCATTTATTGACTAGCCTGAGAAATAACAACAGGTGATGAGTGAGAAAAAATGTGTCACTGTAAAGTTAAAGAGAACATTATGTAGCCGCAGACAAAATTAATTCATGTTGACACTTCCATTCAGGTGAGAACACATACACACTCACTCTGCTACTCCATCTATGCACATCTGTCCGTGCTTTAATTCAGACATGAGGGCACAGAGGCTGATGTTCAAAACTCAGTGTAGAAAAACTCATTGGGAAGTGATCATCTGTCAAAATCCCAATCTTATCTTCGAAAAAGAAGATAACAAACAAGTACAGTAACAGCAACATGAATGAGAGTCCCACAGAGAGACTCTTAAAATGCTGTTACATGCAAGCAGGCCCCTCCCATTACCTTTTCCTATTACCAACAGGTAGACAGGATTATTCAGTTCCTGCATGGCAAAGCTAGCACCTATCCTGCTCATAAAATGCTTCCAACTCCAGCCATTCTCCCTTCTCCAAGAGCCTCCTGAGTGAGGAACAGCATCTTCATCACTGTGACATTGTTTAAGCTTTTGAACACTTCCTCCCATGTCTGACTCTCCATGAGGGCCCTAAGGCAGGTGCCTCTCCTGGAACACAGTGCCTTCTAGGCTAGAGAGTGGTCATACATGACTGCATCCCCAGAGAACTACATCGTTGCAGAGAGGCCGTCAGGAGGCTCTGTGGCTTAGGAAGTGTCCAGGGCTCAGGGGCTCTTACTGGCCGCAGTAAGATTGGACCAAGACAGTGTTATGAACACAAAAATCTTCTCTGCTGTTACTTGCTCCCTCCCTACAGGGAAGTTTAGAAATGCAGATCTCACCTGACAAGACAAAGGGAGGATGTTAGGTCAAAAGAGAAAAATAATATAGGAACATGAAGAAGGCAGAGGTAAGATGTGTTTCCTGAGCATTAGGAATTGTGGTTTGCACTAAGACTTTGTTCTGAAAAAGCCCAAACTATATTTTTTTGACAGTGGAGTGACAACAGCCTCAAGTAATCACTTTAAATGGTACCCACTATTTCATCCAAGCCACTCCTAAGCTTCTAAAGCAACGTTCAGTCACCTTGCACAGGAGTTTCCCCTACTACCTACCCGAAACTTCTTCTTCCCCTCCAGCCTGCAGCTCCTAAGCGCTGCCATCTTCTGCAACCTATTTCTTCACTTCTGTCCTTTGCTTAAAGCCCGTCTGTATTCCTTTGGCTGCAAGACATTATAGTCTCTCACCTGCCCTTCCTGCACTTGACGTTCAGACACGACGCCCTCTTTCTTAACTACTTGGTCTGCTATGTGAAGGCACCAGCACACATGAACGCTCCCAAACCAGGTGACTCAAATATTGCTCACAACATAGCTATGGCAGTGCTCACCAGCTGCCTATGTGTTTATTTTAGTAGTTTGTACAACCCCTGCTTAACGAC